CTTGGGCGGGTGGGACACAAGGGGGCGGGACCTAAAGAGGGTGGGGCCTGTGGTTCAGAAGGGTAGGGGAAGGGGGAGGAGCTAAGGAGGGAGGGGCGGGGCTTGGGTGAGCACAGCTACAAGGGGGGAACCTCTCTGGGAGGGGGCAGGGCCTGAAGGGGCGGAGCTGAAGGGAGTGGGCGTGGCCAACCCCCGTGTCCCCACCGCAGGTGAAGCTGCTGCAGGCGCTGGGGCTCCAATCCACCCTCATCACCGACGGCAACGCCCCCCTCAACCTCTTCTCCACCGCGCGGGGGCTGCTGGGATTGGCCACGCCCATGGACGGGCCCGCCCCCCAGGGCCACACCCCGTGAAGGGGCCACGCCCCCTCCCCAAAACCGGGGGGATTTGGGGGTTAAAATCAGTAAGATTTCACCCAGACCGTTCCAAATTCCCACTTTTGGGACTGGGAATTCCATAAAAACCTCATTTCTGGGCAATTAAAAGGTGTAATGAGGGAAGAGGAAGCTTTAATTAATGCATTTCATTAATAACAGCGGGAAAAAGAAGATTCTAAGAAATAATAAATACAAAATGACTCCTTTTTATTAAGAAAAAAAAAGCCGGTTTGGGGCGGTGACTGGGAAAAGGCACAAATTGCAGGAAATCCCAGTAAAACCCAGTTTCTCCCAGTCCCTGCCCCCCCCAGGATCATCCGCCCGTTAAAAACCAACCCCAAAACCCAAAGGAAAGCCCAAAATTTCCGATATACCCACGGAAAACAGAGCTGTTTTGGGAACAAGCACCAAAAAAACTCAATTTTTCCAGGAAAACCCCACCCCCACCACGTTTTCACCCATTTCCCGCGGTTTTTCCCCCATTAAAAGCCCCAAAAGCGGCTTTTTCTGTCCAATCTCTGGCACGAACAACTCCGTCCTTCACCATAAAATCTCCTTTTTTAGGTCTTTTTAGACCTCTTAGACCTTCCCGAGGGTTATTTCACGGCTCAAATCCCCCTTTTTTGGCCCCAAAAGCAAAACATCCACCTTCTTTCTGGCAGCTTTTGAGGATTCGGCGGTTTTATTTCCAGCGAAAACACGAACCTGGAGAATGGGGGGGAGGAAAGAAAAAAACCATTAAAAAACCCACCCGAGGGGGAAACGCGGCGCTTTTTATACCTTTAAAAAAAGGGAAAAAAGGTTGTTTTAAAAAGGGCAAAAGGAGGTGCCGGGGTCTCAGAGTAATTCTAGAGCTGAGTTTTGGCATCAGGGTCTCAGGTAATACATGCCGGGCTCATCACCGACCGCCGGGTCCGAAAAAGGCACTTTGCTCCATAAAAAAAAGAGGAAAAAATGGGTTATTTCCACCCCCCGGGGCTTTATTTCTTCCTTATTTCAGCCGGGGCTGGAGACGCTTCACCCAAAGGCCCGGGGAGGGTTTGGGGGGCGGTTTGGGGCGAGAAGGGCAAGAAAAAAGGCAGAATTGTGGAATTTAATTTAATCTCGGGCAGAAATAACGACAGAAAATATCAAATACTATGGAAATAGAGCGGGTTTTTGAGGAGAAAATGGAACCGGGTGGGGGAAAAAAAAGCTCTATTTTTATAAGGGGGGGGGGAAATGA